ACCCCTGACATTCTGTGATTCTGTGAAAATAACAGGGGAGTATCAGAGTCCCACTACGGGTCCACAGATGCCTGGGGTAACTGTACCCCTTGACTTCAAAGACAAAGGACTCTCCTTGCAAAAACCAATCACAACTGCAGATGCTTTTAATCTTTAGAGTTATGCTGCTGATGTATCTGCTTGGAAATGAGTTATGTGCAAGTTAAGTGTGTTAGATAGAGCAGGGAAGCAGTTTCAAAAGCTGTGACGGATTTTTTTTCCTAATAAAAGGGATGCATTTTTTCTAATGGAAGAAATGCAGGCATACTTTTCTTTAATACAAAGAGAGCTTAAAATAACAAAGTTTGAAGGGCACACAATGGGAAAAATCACAGATGCTTAGCCTGTGATTGATTGCTAGACTGGATGGCAAAGCTGAACGTATCTGAGCTTGAAACAAGAACAAAGCTGTAGTAACTGTGTCACAGCTGTGCTTGGGGCACTCAACGCCAGCCAGCATGGGGACATGGGGCAGCCCTTCTCCCAGCCTCAGCACAGGGCTCGGGATGCCCTGCCGGGCCTTTCCACCAAGCGGCGGGTGTGCAAGGAGGGCAGATGGTCTTCCCTGACAAGTGCCAGTTCAGCCCTATGCTGGGAGCTTCAATAAAATTTAAGTACTGTAGAGACATTTTGGAGCTGGAAATGACTCACCCATATTGAGCAGGACCTCTCAAAGAGCGTTCAAATGTTGCTAAAGTGCTGGGTTAAGAGCTAAAGTTGTGTAGAAACCTTTTTTTGTGGATTTCATCCACCCCAGTGCTGCAATTTCTTTTAATTAAACCTTTCCGCTACTGCCAGTGGAAACTGGGAGAAAAAAAAGACGGAAAACGGGTAGATGAAAGTAACACATCTTCTTAGCCAACATTTGCAAACTGGAGAGTAGTATACACTAAGAAATGCCTGCTTTCTGTGGCTCAGGGAATAAGCTACTGAAATATTGCTTCTGAGGGGCTTACTTATTTTTATTAATACCTCTATCAAAAGTTCTTTTAAGGCCTTACATTTCTAGGGAACATTTAAGCCACTGGCATCTCTGCGTACCACTGGTAGGGCAGCACATACTGCTTAACCAGTAGTGCCAGCTGTGCATCTCTCCAGGTTACTGAAGATATCACCACCCAAATCATTGCCTTCCCATCTCAGATGGATAAAATGTACTTGTCTACGTGTGTTAAATGGACATCTTGAGCTAAGTTTAGCAACTCTTTTACTGCTCCCGGTCTCATGTTTCTCCCACTCCTGTAAACACGCTCTGCGCATGGTGCCAGCTATGCCTTTGCCAGTTGGCTTGCTGTGAGTCCTCATTCAGTGTTTACTCACTCCTGGGTCAAGCAACATGTTAGGACAGGAAGCGTCTGGCTGTCATTTACTAGCTTCTTCTGAAAGGCTGCCATCTTCACTGGGGGCAGCTTCCCACTGGAAAGGACGAGGATGTAACCGGTTACCCTAACAGAAGACCTTAAACCCACATTCAGGACCTGGCTCACATCTGTCCTGACTGGGTCATCATGGCTGCTTCAGGATCCTCTGCCCTTCGGAGGACCCCACTGGTTCCACTTGCCTCCAGAGCACCAGCCCCTGCAGTTCAGTGCAGACCAGTGTCCCAAGTTTTCTCCCAGAACTGGAGCTGCATGAGCCTGAAGCTCAAGATTGCCAAAAAACCTGGATATGGGGTCTTTGCTAACAGGCCAATAGACTCCCCGCTGCACAGGCACAGCTCGTAGCCTCTGCAAGAGATAATCCTGTCCCTAAGGTTGGAGTTTCTCTGAGAGATTTCTTCCCAAGTTCAAAGGATGTTTCTCTGACCTGCTTTCACAAATATAACTGAGAACCAGTGTGGATGCTAATTAAAAAAAAAAAGACAACAGAAAAATCAAAATGCAACAAAATGAGCCTCTGACAATTCAGAGCACTCTCCTGCCCACATACAAATTTCTCTAAAGAACAGAGTAAAGGTAAATCTCCACTAGCTTCAGTGGATTATAATGGTGGCTACCCAGCTGTGACGCTAAGGAAGACGGGGCACAGGACACAGTCCCAAATATCAATTCAAGCTGATCTTCAGGTTTTTCACAGTTACTGCTCTGGGAAGAAAACCTGAGTCGGAACTTAAGATCAGGCACTCTCTATAGGTAGATTCAGGGTGAAATCGCTAACTACATTGCTGGTTATTTCTTTGGATGGTAGGTACCTGCCAGTGTTGCACAAATCCATTGATGGTGAAGATGGCGGGGACAGCTGCTCTCCATTCTGTCCACAATCTGTGGATATTTCTTCTAAGCCTTTAGATAATCACGAGAGAGGAAACTTAGGGTAATTTTTGTTGATGCTTCCCAGTTCTAGAAGAAATTTACCTATTTTCTAGAAAGCACTTCATGTTCTGGCCCACTGCCTGGATTCTGGTTAATTTCAGAAGCAGCAGCTTCCCAGTGCTCCCCTGCAGATGTGCCCCTACCCCTGTGTACAAGGACTGACTTTTGCACAAAAGAGGTCAACCTCAACAGCTCTCTGTGGAGACTGCGAACGGAGTCTGTCTCTGTTCCACATCAGTGTGATTTTCCCAGGTCTGCTAAGAACTGGGCAGAAGTAGCGCATGAGTTACCAAGCATGAAACTGCTTGCTGTTGCCTGAAAGACCCATTAAAAGGCATTGTGCAGCTTAATCTCACTTAAATTACATTTGGATAGTTTATATTACAAGATTTCAGTGAAGAGGGATGGGTGTACTTCAGGCTTCAGAGCTTCTCTCTCCAAGGCATGAGAGATGGAGCTGTGCCTGCCCCTGCTTTGGCACTGCAGTAGGTCTGCGCTACCATCTGCTAGCCAGCGATGAGTGGCAATCTACAACGACGTTATTTGGAAGAGATAAAGGCTCTCCTCTTTTTACTTTTAAATGCTCTACCAGTTTCTTCAGGCTGTTGCTGCCGACTTTCTCAAGCACTGAGATTACACAGCAGCTGGTAGGTGCTGGTACTTGTCCCCTCCCACTACACTGGAAACACGCTGCCAGAGCAAGGGGGAAAAAAGGAGGATATTTTGCTGCAATGGAGGCACTAGCAGACAAGTGTGGAGTCTGCTTCTCTGCTCCAGCATGCCAGATCCCCTTGCTCGAGCATCTCAGCTGCGATCTGGCCACCTGTGGGATTCCTTTCCTGATGGGCACCCTGCCATCTCCTGACATTTGACATTTACAGCATCCAAGTGCAACTGTTGCAACTGCCATATGTCTGGAGTAGATGACAAGGAAACTGGAAGTTTGCTTTGGAAATCGGAACCTTCTCTTGGGGCTACTGAGCAGTAAAATAATCTGGCATTTGAGCAACGGGAGGGCAGCCGGGCTGGAGTAGTAACATGACTCGTAAATGGGCGCTGCTCTCCACGGGCTCTGGCTGGCTACCTGTAAGGAGTGGGTTTTAGCTGCAGGAACCCTGGGAAGAATTCACGCGGGTAACAAAATGCGTGTCTGAGGTTTGATGCGTGTTTGAAGAGAGGAAAGTTACTCTTTCTTTGGCAACATCTACTCCTAAACCTTTGGCAAGCCCATCTAATTAAACTTGTTGAGGGCCCAGTGACCTGTAGGTAAGTAAACAAAATGAGTCTGTGATTACTCTTAAGTCAGGAAGCTCTGTTTCCTATGGTTTTGTGCCTCTAAGCTCTAGCTGAAGATTCACCAATGTCTTAACATGGGTATATTCATGCATTACCTTGTTCATCAGACAGGGCATATGTATGCTTTGCCCCTTCTATCCTGTCACCTGTTTCCACAAAACTTGCAGGAGCATAATTATTTCCAAGACCTCAGATCCACCATGTTAAAGTCAGCCCAAATTAGCTAATGGATTTATAACTTCTTGAATTACAGGCAAACACACATGCCACACACAGTGAGAACAGTGGCAAAAGGGTATTTTCATTACAAAACCAGAGGAATGTACTTGCTGAAATTGTTAATTGCACTTTAGTAGCAGCCAGATGTATAAATGCCACTGTCATGCCAGGTATGGGGTATGGTAGTGACAAGAGGCTCTTTCAATGTTTTCCTATAAAATGGATTTATTTTTAGTTCAGGTAAGCTCAGTCATTATACCCCAAAAGTGAATTGTTTGGACTGAAGAGTACATCCTGCTCTTCCTGATGTTTCTGATGTGACCTCCAAGCCAGGGAGAAGTTATTGCTTACCAATCTGTTATTTATCTCTTTGCTAGTCTGGTAAAGAGTCTGTAAGCAGAAAAAGTAGTTCAAAACAGGCTACAAGGGGATTTAGTTCCCCGTAAACCTGTCTGTGTGCTATGCAATGCAGACTTGTCCAAGAGATGAAAATCATCTTTCATATTCCTTTAATTGGAGCTCAGGCCTTCTACCTTTCTGGTTTTTCCCCCCTTTTTTTCTGTCAGCACTTCCTTTTGTACCAGAAACTGAGCCTAGGTTTGGTGTGCATCCGTCACTGATACTTTCCTTTCTCCTCTCTCCCTGCAGGGCCCCAGGGCTGCTGCCTTACGAGCCTTTCACAATGGTGGCAGTGAAAATGCTTAAAGAGGAAGCATCTGCAGACATGCAGGCTGACTTTCAGCGAGAGGCAGCCCTCATGGCAGAGTTTGACAATCCGAATATCGTTAAGCTTTTAGGTATCTGAATGAGGTGCCCATGTACAGGGTACCACCTTCTGCTAATCCGCCGTGGGGTTGTTGGGCATGCAGGGGTGAACGCACACGCATGACCAGCGCTTAATGCCAATGGCAATGCAGCTCTCTTTTGCAAAAGAAGATGCCTCTTGCAAAAGAGATGAGCTCTTCTGTATACCACTGCATGCTCTGCTAAATTGTCCGCAAGAACAAGTGTCAAAATGTAGGTCTGATCCTTAACAGAATGGTGCATCGTAATAAACCCTCCTCCTGTTGCATTCAGTATACTGTTGACTATCTTACTGCCTAGATCTGCTTCCAGTGGGAGGCACCAGCTTCCTGAAGCTGTGGTTTATATTGTGGGTACTTATAAAAACCAGGCACAAGTTTTGTTAGTTTTATGGGTCCCGCTGACTACTGTGATGTCTGGACACTCACCAGCATAAAAAAAACAAAATGAAAGAAATAAACCAAAAAAGCCAACTGCAGAAATGGTCTCTTCCTTCCCCTCCCTTCCCAGCTGAAAGAAAACCTCAGTTTATTGTGTTTTTTTTAATAAAGTCTTGATTCAACAGCCTGGCTAATAGGGCATTCTTCTTGGAAGGAAGCTGCTGACCAAATCATATTTTAGTAAAATTTCAGGTTTTGACTGAAGTAAATGTTGCCAGCCACCTTCATCTGGCAATCCTGCTGTAAGTTGTTCTATGCAGATCTGATCCTATGAAGAGGCAGCTGAGATCTTAATTTTTTTTGGTAGGAAGTTCCACAAAATTTGGAAATAGGTAAATTCCAGTTTGGGGAAAGCTGGGTTGATGCAGGTATTTCAGCTACAGAAAAGCAGGAAATATCCCAAATTCAAATAAACATTGTCTCTATTGTCAACACCTTTCAGGTCAGGAAAGGGTAAAGGTACAGGAGCAAACTAGTTTCGCATTGTGGGGGTGTGGAGAAAACAGCCACCTTGTTGAAGACAGCTTAGATGATAAAGCTCTCACATACACTCCTCATGCTTGTCAGATCCTGATTTTATCACACTGGGAAGAGCTCTCTGTTTTTCCTCAAAGCTTCAAGTGTAAGATCATCAACAAGAATTTCAGATTTCACAGTAACTTGGATCAGCAATTGTTAAACTATGGCCCTAAGAAGCAAAACACATACATTTTAAATGCTAGCCTTTGCTGGCAATTGAATAACAAACATACAAGTATTTTTTCCATATCACTGTATGCTCAGTAAAACTGGCAAAAGTGGGGTCCTGTACTGAGAGTGGCACCCAGTAAAGCTGGAGTAGGGCCAAGCATGTGTCCTTCAATGGGATGAGGCTCTCTCACATCTATCAGATGTGGCGAAACTCTGCTTTCTGATGTCTTTATTTCTTTCATTTTTGAGTGTCTGTCACACCAAAAGTAATTTCTACACCTAACAGTTTTTGCACTATTTGTTAAACAACAAAAAAAAGAAGTAAAATCCAGAAGATGTTGTAGTGGTAGTGCTTTTCAATTTCAAGTGTATATCCCACTGAACGCTTGAACATGTCCCTCGTAATTACTTCTGAAGCCTTCCTGTGTATGTGTAGCCACTACAGTCATATTAGTATAAGTACAATAATTACAACAAAAAAAAAGAATAAAAAATACCAGAACTACAGAGGTTACTTCCAGAAATTATGTTCTTTCAGCTGCACCTCTGAAGAGGCAACACTTCTCTTAAGGCCAGCTTAAGCAGGATTGGGGTCTTAACTACACATAGCTCCAAGAATATTTCTTTTTCCTGGAGTGTCCAAACAAATCAGGCAACATATGACTTGTTAACATCCCCCACAGAGTCAGTATTAAATCCCTAGTGCAGGAGCTTCAAAGATGCAAAGGGGTGCATGCAAACTTGATGGCATTTACATGCTTCACCTTTCTCTCCATCCCTTCATGCATTGTCGAAAGTCCCCGTTTTGTGCAGGTATTTTTGGAATTTTTTTTTTTTGTTTTGCACGAAAGAACACTCTTTTCTACCCAAATGACCTGTGTGGTGCATCTACCTTCTTCCAGGTGTGTGTGCTGTTGGGAAACCGATGTGCCTGCTGTTCGAGTATATGGCCTACGGGGATCTCAATGAGTACCTGCGCGACCGCTCGCCCCGCAACCTCTGCAGCCTGGTGCACGGCAGCCTGGACGCGCGGATCCGCCTCCCCAACCCCCTGGCGCTGTGCTGCACCAGCCAGCTCTGCATTGCCAAGCAGGTGGCTGCTGGCATGGCCTACCTCTCTGAGCGCAAGTTTGTCCACCGGGATCTGGCTACCAGGAACTGCCTGGTAGGGGAAAACATGGTGGTCAAAATCGCCGATTTCGGTCTGTCGAGGAACATGTATTCGGCCGACTATTACAAAGCGAATGAAAACGACGCCATCCCCATCCGCTGGATGCCCCCCGAGTCCATTTTCTACAACCGCTACACCACAGAGTCCGACGTTTGGGCCTATGGGGTGGTGCTGTGGGAGATCTTCTCCTATGGCATGCAGCCCTACTATGGGATGGCTCATGAGGAGGTCATCTACTACGTGAGGGATGGGAATGTCCTTTCCTGCCCAGACAATTGTCCCCTGGAGCTCTATAACCTGATGCGTCTCTGCTGGAGCAAGCTGCCTTCTGACCGGCCAGGCTTTGCCAGCATCCACCGCATCCTGGAGCGCATGTACGAGAGGGCTGTGGCCACCCCATCAGTCTGAGGGATGCGCCCAGGGGTCCTCTGTGTCCACATGTTTGGACTGACTTGAACCAGCCCACGGGCTCCTGAGCAGCAGTTCCATGCAAAGCCCAGCTTTAGGTAGAAGGGAAACATCCTGTTCCTTTGCCAAGCAAGAAGTGAGGATTGCACCTCCCTGCTGTGGGCTATACCTGCCTGAATGGGACTCCCAAATGACAGGGCTGTCCTCTGACCACCAAGCGTGGACTCCAGTACTCAGCTTGGTGGGGGTGCTGGCCGTGCTAATTCAATACCTGTGTTAGGCATTTCCAGGAGCAGAGTTCCCCAGGGAAAGCGTATGAATGTTTCACTGGTGGCACTTCCCTACCTAACAGGTCTTTCCATGTCCTTTTGCACTTATGTTCTTGGCTTCTACCTTTTTCTTCACTTCTTCCTATGTTTTCAAGTATTATTTAAAAAGAACAAAAGATTGCCTACTTCAATCTTTTTGGGGATACTTTTGGGGATGTTTACTATTTTATTTTTGTGTACTCACTTCCTTTTGTAGAAAAAGAATGTTTCTGAACACATAGGCCACTTTCTTATTCCTTTTAACTTCCACCTCCTCTTTGACACTCATGAATATAACATTGACAGAGTCAAAACAGGAACCTGCAGGACCACCAGCAGCTGCCCACATCTCATGTTACACAGACAAGAAAACTCCTGTGAAACACAGAGCCTTGCATTTTCAAAAGTGGGAAATCCACAGTGATGTTCATTTGATGTTTGTTAAGATGTCACCCAAAATCTTGCTTCATGCATTATAGCCCATCTTTCCTGCCTTGGCCTGCAACAAAGCCATTTGGTGCTAAGGTAGAAATTTAGCCCAAAGGCGTGGTCCTGCACCAAGGTGTATTTATTTGCCTTTGCCTGCAGTATGGTCCTCACTGTACCAAAAGCAGGGAGAAATGTAGCTCCTTGTGCCGAAACATGACAGGTTACTTACTTCTTTCCTTCTCCCTTACATTCTTTACCTCTTGTTTCTGGCTTTCCTGTCCTGACACCATCTCCTAACGCCTGCAAGCCCCACTGCAGCATTTGCTAACCATCTCTCCTTGTGCTGCAGTTTACTGATGCAGAAGTAGGGAACGTGGATGTGTGCCATCAGTGGCCTTCAGAGACAACCTGCCAGTTAGGAGAAGGTGGAGAAAGGGAGAGTTCATACTCCACAGAAGCAGCATTGCAGACTGTCCAGCTGCAGGGCAAAGATGAGACTGCCTCAGTTACACATGGTTCACAGCTCACCTTCAGCCACTGAATGTCATTTCTCTGCTAAAAGTTCTCCAAGTTGTAATGGATACTTCAGTGCCAGAGAAAAAAAACATTTCTCTAAGGACAAGTTTTACCTTTAAATTCCTTGGGCAGTGAGGAGAAGTTATCTCAGAGCTTGATCGCTGATACGAAATATACCTGGAGGTAGAGATGTGCATTATCCCTGCAGAGCAGGAGTGCCAGTGAATGAGCTGTCAGTGTGACTTCCCTAGCTGGGACACACTGAAATGTCAGTGGAACACAGGCATCTGTAGGGCCACCAAAGTAGCCTTGGTTTCTGAAAGGTAGGCTTAAAGTGCTCTCTCAACCATTATGAAGAACAAAGCTGCAGAGCACATATTTTCCTCTCCTGTTTTCCTGTAATGTGACCTAACCTCTGCTACATCATAACCTTATCTTTATCTTTATCTTGGGTTTTGTTTTGTTTTTGTTTTCTAAATGGTTCATTCTGGTTGTGGCCACAAGACCATAGTTTAGTGTTTTCAGAGCACTGGTGCCAATTTTGCTTGAAGCAAAGAGCTTGCATATACCCAGGACAGTGGGAAGAAAGAGGAAGCTCTGCTTGGGCTGCAAAGCATGGAATTACTAAAAATGCCTGAATAACTGCACAGTGAACACAAAATGACAAGTGCTGCCTTACTTATTTAGCAGTCCTGCTGTCATGCTACTACGACATAACACTTTACTGAGGTTTGGATGCTAAAAAAATACCCACCTGAGAACCTTAGAGCCCTCCATGTAAAGAAAATAATTATTGGAGATCCCTACATAGCTGCTGTCACAGCATTATGATCGCCTCACAGTCCTTCGCATTAAATCCTGTTAGGTTTTGTTGGCTACCTGGCTGTCCTCCCTGCCTTGTGGTGGCGGCAGGGGTGAGAAGGCGAGTCTGGAGGGTGCTGCAGCCGCTGCCCAGCCAAGGCTCTGGGCACCGGCCAGCCGCCGGTGC